CCTCTGCTCCTAACACACTGGTCCTCACCCCTGCAGCTCTGCTCCTAACACATGCCTGCTTAAATGTGGGGAAACACTAAGTGTTGCTCCATCTGCTCTACGCCCGGCATGGGGCTCGAACTCACAACCCCGAGATCAAGAGTCGCATGCTCCACTGACTGAGCCAGCCAGGCGCCCCTAAGCAGTCTCTGTTTTTTTTTTTTTTTTTTTTAGTGTTTCTCCCAAGAACCCTTAAAGGGCATCTCAATATTCAAGCAACCCGGATTTCTTTATTTTCCAGCGAGACCATCCACATGCTGTGCTGCGAGCCCATCCTCCCACCATGTGCCCGAGAGCTCTGGGCCCTGGGGTGAGAGTTGGTCCACACGGGGACACACTCCCAGGACGACCTCTATGCACCCTCATGCCAAAACGGCCCCAGCACTAGGCTGTGTGGACTTTATCACAGCTCACAACCGATGACCCTGCCTGGAGCCTGGCCGCCCGCTGGCCTCATGGTTTCCACGCGCATAAAAGGGACGCCCTGTCCCCACCATGCCTCTCTCAGAAATCTCAGTCCTGTCCAAAGAAGCAAAGCATTTGCTTACAATTAGAAGCTTTTCACATGTGTTTGCTTGCTCGAGGGCATGCGTGCGCACGTGTGCGTGTGTGTGGCAAGAGCTGGGGGCAGGAGGGAACGTGCAGCCGTGGGGAAGACGGTAAAACCAGAAGATTGTAGACAACACAGAAGGGACGTGACAGCAGGAGGAGCCGTGGAAAACCCCCTGCATGCCACCCCACAAAGATCACCTCAGTTAACAGCTTGACATCTGTCCTTGGAGTCTCTTTTCTACGCACAAACCTGTTTTAAATTATAGACTGGAATTACGATGTACAGTTACCTAGGACACGGTCCACTAACACGTGGTGGCCGCCTGTCCACGCCACTTCAGCATAGCCTGCACGCGTTTGAGGGGCCTGACTGACCAAGTGGAGACCCTACTGTTGAAGGTCCAAGCCGTTTCCGTTGCTTGGCCCCCATGAACAATGAGTCAGTGAGGTCCCTGCTAAAGGGCCCACACGCCTCCGATCACCTCCTGAACACACACTCTGAGAAGGGGCTTAGGCCACGCTGTCCCCCGCGCAGCTGTCCTGTCTGCTGGCCCTTGGCCGAGGTGCAGGGAGGACCCCTGAAGCCATGCTGGGTGTGACGGATGGCAGTCCCCGCTGTTGCCATATGCACTCTGCAAGCCTGGCCCCCAGGCTGGGGAAGAGAGCTGCAGGAGAGTTTCTGGGGTGTACATGCAGCCAGAGGGGAGCTGCCCTTCCTAAGGAAGGGCCTCGAGCCGGGACTGCCGGACGTAGCTCAGGCTGCGGTCCCCGGGGCAGGGGCTCCAGCACCCCCACAGCGGACTGAAGAGAGGGAAGGCCGCGCACCTCGGCACACCTGATGTAGCCGACCCATTCCGAAAACCAGGCCTGGCAGGACCCGCCTCATCGGCTGTCCACAGTCACTCCACACGGGCGGCTCTCCGAGGCAGTGATCCCACTTTTTATCACCAAATAAAGCAAATGCACCACCCACTCTGGGATGGAGAGGGAGAGAGGAAATGAACTGTTACGTTATTTTATTTAAGACAACCTTTTTTTGAGAATGTGTTTATTCATGGCTTCTATTCTGCTTCTATAAACATGAAAGTTAAAATGCTGAATTATGTATTCTAGTCTTCTGTATTTAACAACTCAGACTTACACGTGGAAAAAAAAATTGATCTCTGTGCAGAAGTGCTGCATTTTTTTCCCTAGAAAAACAACCTAGAACGCACAGGCATGAGTGTGGCTCGTCATTAGGGACCCTCCCTGAACCTGGGCATGCCGACCGGGAATAGAGCCGCAGACACTTACAATGCAGGCTTTCTGGAGTCACCCTATGATGATGTTGGTGTTTTCTTGTTACGTCAGATTTCTGCCTCTGCCGGAACACCATGAACGGGACAGCCAAAGGCAACAAAAATCTACCCTGTCACAGCTGGGAAGCCAGAGTCTGAGGGGCCGCGCTCCCTCTGGAGGCTCCAGGGGGGTCCTTCCTGCTCCTTCCAGCTCCTGGGGGTCCTGGTGTCCTGGGCTTGTGGCCACGTCTTCCCGTTTCTGTCTCCTTTGTGAGGCTTCTGTCTGTGTCTCTCCTCTTCTGTCTCTTAAAAGGGCACTTGTCACTGTATTTAGGTCCAACTTGGATATTCCAAGATGATCTAATTTAGTTATATCTGCAAAGACCCTTTTTTCCACAGTGGGTCACATTCACAGGTTCCGGGGATTAGGATGCAGACCCAGCTCCAGTGTAGGGGGCACCATTCCACGCCCTCACTGAATGAACAGCACCGTGAGCACTGAGGGGAATTTTCAGTGGCTGTTATGATTGAAACAACTTCTTCTTGGAAAGAACCTAACACTTCTAGAACCTGTGATTTACAGTCTGTGTATCTCAGAAAAACTTTCTACATCATACGGATTCCTTCTCATAAACACTTATAAAGCCTTAGAAGGTTAACGGTGAAAGAGGCATTGAAATAATGAAAAAGCACGAATATCACTCAACTGAAACAGATGCTCTCTACCTATCTGTCCGAAACCCTGAACCCCTTGCCTGGGATCAAGCACTCCAGCACAAACAGTAAGCCTGTAATCAAGAAGCAGGGTTTCAGAAACTGGGACCAGATTGTGCAGAATAAGCAGCTCAGTAACATTTGGCTATAATGTTGCAGAAATGTATCTACAGAAATACTGCTCAGCAGCCGCCACCCGCCTTCCCCTCAGAGCACCGCAAGAGATTCAGACCTGTGGTAAAGATCCACTACATAAGCGAACATTCCAGAACTATTTCATGATAGCGCCAAAGCCTCCAAGGAACTGCTAGTGATGCAAACGGGATTTGCAGGCTGCAGACAGGTACATAGGGGCGGTTCCTCCAGAAGGGCACACAAGTCTTTTTTTTTTTTTAAGAGTTTATTTATTTATTTGATAGAGAGAGACACATCAAGAGAGGGAACACAAGCAGGGGGAGTGGGAGAGGGAGAAGTAGACTCTCGCGGAGCAGGAAGCCTGATGTGGGGCTCAATCCCAGGACCCCGGGATCATGACCTGAGCCGAAGGCAGACGCTTAACGACTGAGCCACCCAGGTGTCCCGGCATACAAGTCTTTACTCATATAACCATCCGGATTCTTATTCATCCTCTGTAATTTCCAAAAGACTGCACTTCAAGTGCATTTCAGAAATGGATCCAAACAGGAACTCCACTTATAAGTTTATTAGGCTGTCAATTACTTTGTGTTAGAATATAGTGAAGCTCTGATGTGTCCAAACTATTTTTTTTCTTTTTTTTTAAGATAGATTTATTTATT